CTAGTTGAATTTAATAGTTTCAGGATATCGTCATAAAGCATTGTCATAACTTGACAATCACGTAATATGACTGATAAAATTAATGAAACTATTAACGTAATCGGTCAACAAATTGACTTATAATTACAATTAAATGGTGTTGTTTTCTTGGTATCTTCATCCATCACAGATGATTACAGTATGTTTCTCTATCAGTTGGTCATTCAGTAAATATCTCAAAACCTTGTCAGTCTAATTGATGGTTTAGCGACACAATCATGCATGCAAATAATCAGTATAAGCAGTCGAGCAAATCTCCTGTAAACTGAAAACATCAATGTCGAATTTACCCCAACACTGACTAAGGTTCAAGCCATTATCATAGACATGAGTTGGGAGTGTACTCCCCCTGGTTACAACTTGTGTTCTTCCTGATAATCACATGAGCATCTCTCACTGTTAATCATCTTGTAAAAGCTTATTTAGCCGAATACATCCTGCAGCACCACATCACCTAGTAATATGACACATAGGCCTAACTGATTTCAATAACTTATAACCACTATATCTCAGTTAAATCGTATTCCGCCTTATGATAAACTGCGTACTTGCAACTAACTTGTAGCATCACCAGCCGGCAAGTATAAGTATAAATAAATAGTCTGCCGCAGATCAGGACATTGAGTCTAGAGCATGTCTCTTACGAATACACTCATGTTTAACGATTTGTTGCTAGCTATCTGTCCGAAATTCATATAATTATCACTCATGTATTTAAATTTTATTTTGATAACCATTCATGTGTATTAGTAGTATTACTAAATTTTATCACGGTCAAGTAAAAATGAGGTTGAGAAAATCTCCCCGTAACTAAATAAACCGTATCAAACTAACTGGAACACTAGTTGGAATTCTTTACCATGGTAATACTTTTGTTCTTCCAGTTAGCCTACTAATACAGATGGAGTTGGAAATCACATATGGACGGGTTACCGGCATAATTGTTAATTGGTTTCGTAATTTAAACCAAAACTAATACCAATATTAACATTTCTACAATGTTCATTACTTTAATATTTCTAAACACAAAATACTTACTACCTATACGTCAAGTTATTAACCAACGGCTATTAACACGCATCGTTTTATTATTATTATTATTATTGTAACCCCATTTTTTATAGCTCAAATAATCTTCACCCAAATTGTCATTTCAAGCATGTTAAGCATGAAGGCAGATATTTTAAAATTATTGCATGTATTTCCCGACCAGATGCTGCCGCTTTCTTTTTGACTTATCTTTCAGCTTACCAATACCCGAAGGATTCTTTTTATCCGTGGTAACCTCCGGCGCGCGACGATCTCATCCAATTTGGTATCGAACCAACATCACGTTGATTCTGGTGGGAGAGTAGTGTAGTGGCATTGGACAATAGCCACACAATCCACAAAGCTGTGAACACGAGACTACTCAGAAAATAGATATTCAATATTTAACTCGGGGAAATATTTAACAATGGAGAAGGCGCGGAGAATAAATTGAATGGACGGGAGTTGATTGGATGGCATGGCTCGGCCATGCAGGCGTGGTCTCTGCTGAATATTACCTTATATCTTCTATTCATATTAAATATATTGTTCTTTCTCTAGCCTAACCTTGTTCTACATCATGTATTGGTAGTTGTTACGATGCGGTGAGTTGGTGTAGTCGATGATGTGACTTCCACGTAAGATCTTATAGATTAGGCAGTTATATCATGACAAATCTACAATTTTAGGATTAGGTCTATTGTTAGAGCAGTACTAATATCATGGTAGACCATAATTCTACAATCTAATAGATTAGGCAGTTATATCATGACAAATCTACGAATTTAGGATTAGGTCTATTATTAGAGCAGTACTAATATCATAGTAGACCATAATTCTACAGGTCCATGCTTTCGAACCAGGCTAGTTGATTCAACTGAAGAGTTTACACATTTCTTCCAGTTATAAGTTATTGATTTTATTTTGTCATAATGATTGCCTATTTATCCTTAGGTGTAGGTTACTGGTGCTTCATATTCACTTGGTTAAGTTTGCGCCAGTGCTACATGGATTTCTCTTTAACAAAGTAAGACATGGGACTTCAGTTCCCATCAGTATAGAGAATGTCAATAGCAAGAGTCTTTGGAGCACTCACTGGCCTCCAAGATGGCAGTTTTATTTCAAGCGTTTGTTTCAAGACAAGTTTAAGCAGGAAGTTAATGGTTTGTAATATAGGATTTAAAGAACATATTAGACCCATAATTCTTATCAGTTAGTTGGAATATTTTGATATAGCCACCCTGGGACCTTCCTCAAAATGTAATCAAATTTATAGTCATGCCATTTTGAGACCAGCGTGACCACTATTCCTCGAACCTTTTCAGATAGTTCAGTCTTATAGACAAGAGCTAACTACCTGTATGTAGCGCGTAAGTTAACTTGCGCGATTGTGGGTCAACAATACCGTGTAGTCTATCAAAACGTTCCAATACTTGGTTATCTAAACTCTAATCATAGTTCAAAAGTTTCTAATACTTATCACACTTGAAGTTCTGAAAGGTCCTATGGTTGTAATATGTTTTTTTTTGTTATATCCCAACCTACTATGGTTGTAGCGACCGAACAGCCAATATTCGGTTGTATTAACGGACTGTTGAACCCTAAATTTATTCGATTAGACCAGACCACGTTCCTCTGTATAGCTCACAACGAGTTTTTGAGATACTCGTATTATATTATATCAGAACACAAACTCTGTGCTCAATATAAACGGCTATAATTTAGAAGACAGAACAAATTACATCAGAATACAAAATACCTCAAACGGTACAGCCTGTGCTATACAGTCACAAGTTTCTCTAACGCAAAGTAGCGCGCTAAACAATGAAAGAGACAGTTAATACTAAGGGGCTTGAGACCTGAGAATCAATAAAAATATTCCAAACAAGATGGGACCAAGTATTTATCCGCAGGGATTCCGGCGATCCTCCCAAGAGGTTAACAATCACACACTGAACCACGCCGTGACCTTGAGCTTAGCCAAACACGACCTTTCTGTCAATGGTCTGGCAACATGAAATGGTAACTTAGGTAATAAAGGATAAGTCTTTAATCAAAATCACATAATAAAGGCTCAAACGAGGAAGACTGGAGAACAAAAGCTATGGTTAAACGAGATCGGAACAAAGGTTGGAATACACAAAAGGGAGAAGGAACAAATAAATGACAATACTGTTCAACAAAGAAGCTGCAGAGGGATTTCCATCGTTCTCTTTCCGTTACAATGGTTATAATGTTTTTGTGCTTAGTAAAATAAACACGTACAGGTACTAATATGTTCTTCAGAGAACCTGCTTTCTATACGAGATTTTCTGGGGAATTCGGACTTACCACATATGTTGCTTATCGTTTAATCGATCTTACATGAATAAAAGATTGAAGAAATAGATGGTTATGACTAACCACAGGAAACCCTTCAGGAACACTTTCTTAGTTTTACATTTTTACTTCCGTACAGTTTAGACCTTATTATATATACCAAAAGCTGGAATTCGAGACTGCTTTAATTTTAATGACGACATTTTAAGCCTCTCAAATATTGAAGAACAGAACTCATGAAGACGTTGGTTATCGGTATAAAAAAACTTATTACCGGTCATCAAACCATCATAAATCGGCAAGGTGCGTCGCAGATGGTCATAAAGTTTTAGCTCGGTCCAAGCAGGTACATACATATGAATTTTGTCTAGGTCTGGAAAACAGAATGTTGTCACTCAGTATATTATGAAGAAATCAGAAGAGTTTTCTCAAGATAATGTTATTACAGTTACTCTTCAAGATGATTTGACGCCAGTAAATGGAGTCCCAAAAGAACACCAATCTGAAAGGCGTGTTAGAATTCGTTTTTCGTATTGCTCACCGAAAGATTTTAAATTCTTGATACAGTCGACTGCTGTTCATATACACATGGGTCTTATCATAAATATGGGTTTCATCCCCATCCTTACAGAGCACACTATCACTAGAAGTAATAGGGTTATAAAATGTATGTAGTGAACATTATATTATGTGTCTAAGATCCCTTTCATACGCAGTCGAGCATTTCAGAGACACTAGATAATGGAGAAATTTTGATGGCTATTGTGATAACGATGTACTGTACATGGGATTTAGAAAAAACAGTAATATTATTCTGCAAGCCGTTCCGTAATCTGATAGACAAATTTTACAGCAATCAAAACCCTTGCTATCTCAATTAATTGGTCAGTCGATGTGGATGAGTTGACTGAAGACAGCTGAAAGAAGTTAAATTTCCCGGCCAAGAAAATAACTATACCGTTTATCCCATAACGAACTCAACCCAGTTGATTACCTTAATTTCGAAGTATCTATGTGGAGATGAAAGAAAATCACCTTCGGATCTTCTTATTGATACTCATTCATAAACGGCTTAGGTATGAGGGTCAAAAGTTTGTGTACTGCGTGGTCAGTCGGGATGCGATAACCGTAGATGCATAAAATACTGCCATGCTTCGGGAGAAAATAGAAAGCAGTTAAATCTCTCTATTGATAACTAATAATTTATTCCTAAATATATGGTGCTAGATTGATAGTGCTATAGGCTTCCAAATTTTCTTTACTATCATTTGATTCAGCACGAAAAGTTATAACTTTCGGTTGAGATACTGTACTTATCAATATTGTCCGTTTGCTACCCATGTATTTGGGCTCAATTTAGTTTTTTAATGCTATACGTACTTTGAAGCTGAAAAACGTGACGCGAGAATCAGTTCAGACCAGCTTATTTATTCTCACATTTGAAAACCTAAGACTGAGGACCTAAAATTTTCACATTACCAGTCATCAAATTAGTAAGAAATACCCCTCATAAGTATAACAGAGAACTGGTGACTCACTTCAATGAGTTTTTGAAAGTTCAGTACTACTTCGGAAAAGCCAATTTTGTCTTACAGTGTTTTAACGTCCTATTCACTCACAAAAATCCTTGAAAATCAACCTTCAGAAACAGCGCTCTCAATAGTTTTCTACGCGTTTTCACCATAAGGCTTTTCTGTGAGAACAAAGTATATGGTTATCTTCAAACTTTTAGTCCCTTGTTTTGTTATTAGGTATTAAAATGTCAAGTGTGTCGATATTATGATCGTAAAATTGCTGTTAGTAATTTTGTTTAGTCAAACGCTTAATATAATATTAGGGAACGTAAGGAAGACTTTTCAATGAAGAGTTTGTTATCCAGACGTAGTTTATTCTATGTGATACTTGTTGTATTGTGATAATGAGTAGCTGACAATTTTGACTTTCTCAGACAATTATTATTCTGTCATAGCAGTCGAAGTAAAAAAAAAATGAAATCAAAGTAGCAGCATAAGTACAAAACCGAAATATTACCTATCTTTTTTGTTTTCTTTAAATTCAACCAATTAAACGATATTTTCCACTTAGCTCTGTAGATTACTGTGGAAAGAAGTTAGGGTGATCTAGTTTTGGTGTGCACTAAAACGTTGAATGTCAACTTGTTTCTGGTTTATATGAACGGATAAGACGTCGTTAGATCTTGAAGACCATCACAAGAACTCGGAACTTTCATTAGAGTGGGTTTAGCTTCTAGCACTTGCGACGTTAAGGGTGGCACAACACCAATTAAATCCAAGTTAGCAGCTATGGGATTTCTGTTAACGATTCCTTCATCTATATGATGTTGAATCTTTATTAAATTATAGCCGATATCGGTCAATTGTTCAAACGTTACTCTTTTTTTAATCCTGACTTCTAAAACGGTCTCCTAGAAAATCTGAGTATTTCTGAACCATATGTATGCTCGAGATTTCACATGGGAATTTTTGGTAGGACTCTAATTTATAGACGAGCCGATCAGAAGCGTTTATGGAATTTCAAGGTCACGGCGCTAAGTTCAGTGCGAGATGCTCACATTCGATCGTTTTACAGCAGATTTTAGAGAATAGGTGATTGTTGAGAGACTACAGCAGATGGGAATATTAAGAAGTTCCTGTGTCTGTGACTGCGGCAATTAAATGACCGCAGCACGATGTGCAGACTGTCGCGATGACATTGTATCTCGTTGTACTATATGTTGTAGAAAAAAATCTGCTCGAACTGGCACTTTTTTTGCCCGGTCACGGCTAAGGCTAAGACAAACCTTGATAATCGTTGCAAATTGGATCATAAAGTCTCCAGTAACATTAGCTGCGGCTATACCGATGATTGGAAAGCGTATAGATGCCTCTCGAGACTTGGTTTTGTGCATCATGTGGTGGTGCACAAACGTCATTTCTTTGATCCAACGACGGGGGGTCCATACAAACAACATTGAGGGCACGTGGTCTAGGCTGAAGTATTTTTTAAGACCCTACCACGGCTCCAGAGGACGATTATTATGGAGTCATATGGACGAGTTCTTATACCGCATGCACTATGATTTCAAAACTTCTGGACCTATATCAAACCTCAACAAGTTCTTAAATAATGTAAAAGAAGAATATCCATTGTAATTCATCACTTTTTTATTATATATTTTCACTTCATACTAACTCTTTTCTGATTGGCTAATGTCCTCAAGGTCACTTAAAAATTCGTTCAAAGGTCGTCCATAAAGTAGAGTCACCGAATTTTTAGAGTTCATATAGTTTTGTGTAAATCACTTATTTTGCTTATTAATTAATCCATTTTTCAAGACTTCAACGTCACCCAACAATATACCTTAGGTATACAATTAAGATTTCGGTGATCTTGGTTTTATTGACGTAAACGTTTTAATGTTTGGAACTTGGAATGAGATCTGTGTTTTAGAAACAAGGACAAAGGCTTGGGACTGGGATCTCCTGCTACTGTCAAAATTAAGATTCAGTTTTAGGGTAAAGATCTATGTGTAGGATTTGAGATTCAGGGTTTGCTTTTGGGTAGAGGTAGACCAGTCGTAAAACCTGTTCTCTATATTAAACCTCAACATCCAACTTTGAATCCTAACACCGAATTCAAATTCTGTCCCTAACTACTAGATCGGGCTGGTTCTCAGTACAACCCTTAAACCTTATAAATTTTATTTGAATTCGAGTTAAAAGTTATATGAAATTTCTAAAAGTTGATTGGTGATTTAAAATTTACACTGCAAATTATTCCATTTCTACAGTAAATCACTCATGTTTTTAATGGTTGAACGCGATTGGGAATATATCATGTTCATTTAAATTTCATTGGAAAAACCTTAGACCTAAATATTATAAGCGTCAACGTTACATTAGACTTTCAATGTTCTTTGCAATATACTAAATTTTGGTGTTTAGGAGGTGTATTACGCAGTCCTCTAACACTAAGTTTAAGATAGCTTACTGCCTCCGAGTACGTCTCAATAGCACATTTTTCTTTACTTATTATTATTTACACTCATAACATCAATGAAGTCTCTACAAAAGTAACCTTATCTTTTCACTTGCATGACGTGATTGGTGAGTATGAATTACGCACTTCCTATAATTTTCACATAGTTAAAGCCTGTTATGGTATGGTATTTTATCCTGTGGAAATATTTTACAGAATTCCCGAAGAAGACTTCTAAATCCTGATGGAGAGGTTTATTCAAAGCAAAATTTATTTTAGTCTTCATGTGATATGTCACGGTAAGAAAATTTACAATCTTTGCAACTTCGAAATATTCTAGGTAAACATTTTGCGACAGAACATAGTCACTAGATATTATATCTTGTACTTTAAGACTAATTACCATACTTCGTGTTTTTAACATGAGTTTGTACTTATTTTTGTTGTCATACATATTGGTTAAATTCTGCCTCAAAAGTTAACATAATTTATATATTCCATATATCCCGCCATACAACTAAGTGTAGTGTGGAGATTATATGATTTTCCACCTCACTCTTACTCTTTATATCGCTGTGCTTATTTACACATTTTTGAAGTTCTATAACCTTCAGATACAAATTTTCCATTTTAGATTCGTAAAGTAGATGAGTAATTATATGGGGATCTTGACGAAAATTAGTGTTTATGAATGTCTCCTTCTACTTGGCATATATTCATTTGGTCTTTTTATATTTATGAGTGGTCTACTGCCGAATGACCCAGCTACAAAAGTTGACAAAAGTAAGATTAGTTTCATTTCTGATCAGTATTTTGGTTTTATTTAGTTGGGGATATAGAAGAAACATATAAGATTGATAAATTTGTCATGATCGTAGTTGACGCATTAAGAGTAGACTTTTTGTTTTCACCAAAGTACTCAGAAAATTGGGTCAAACTTCGTTCGTATATGAATCTCAAGTCGGCCACATGTTCTGCTTCAATTGTTCAACCCCCTACTGTGACACTACCGCGAATAAAGGTTGGTTTATTGAACAAATTGGATATCATTTTAAAATGTAGGCAATCGTCTCAGGGAGAAATCCGAAGTTTGTTGATATTTTGCACAACGTAAATGCAGAAACTATGGTTGATGATAATTGGGTAACTCGTTTGGTAAATCATCAATGGAAAATTCAATTTTATGGGGATGATACTTGGATAAAGCTTTTTCCTAAAAGCTTTCAGGCCTATGAAGGCACAAATTCTTTCTACGTTAATGACTTCTATGAAGTAAAATCGATTGATGCTAAATGTTTTTAATATTATAGGTAGATGGAAATGTAACACGTCATATCTCGACATTGATGACTACACCTGATACATGGGATGGTCTTATTTTGCATTATTTGGGGTTGGATCATATTGGACACATTGAAGGACCTAAGGGATCTAGCATCCCTAAAAAAATTCGTGAAATGGATGAAGTTATTCACAGCATACTTGAAGTATTGGTATGTTTGTTGTTTATGTTTTAATAACTTTACTCTAATGTCTTTCAAAATATGTATGTCGGTTTTTTACTATTCTTTACCTAATTGTTGGATACGTTCGCTTCATATTTATAATTTAGTCTCCAATGCCCACATTGTGTAAGCTTTTTAATTGTTTTCAAGTGGAAAGGAATACCTGATAATTGTGAATGTGTCACTGTTACTGTGCTGATATTTCGTTTCAGTATACTATATCTCAAACAGTACTCGTGTCTTAAAGAGCTGGAAAGAATCTGCTAGGATAAAACATTGTCTGATAAAATCATTGTTCATGAAATTGATTGCTTCCCATTGTTTTACCTACTTGGATTCGAAATGTGTATCTTTGTATTTTTTAGCATTTATAGTTTTAAGATAAGAAATGACTTTGGTGGAAATTATTGTAGTATTATTGATATTCTATCACTATTTTGTACAGTGCGATTAGCACTATTTAGAGTTAGTGAGACTGTCAACATTAAATTTCGTTTTGATACTTCATTATGAATGGTAAGTGATTATATAAAGTTTCCAAAGTTTGCTGACTTAAATATCCTTGCTATATCATGTATGTGTATACGACCCATTCAAAATCAGTGTTAATACTATCATGAACAAGCAGAAACTGGCAAACGGTTTGGAATAGCGACGAATCTGCGCCCCATGTTTAGGAAAAGCTAAATTTGAGTTTATAATCATGAGACTCTAAATGTAGCAGTGACTATTGACTAAAGAGTAATCAATGATTCACGCGCTTTTAATTTTGTCTTATAGGCTTTTGATTCAGTGCTAGATTTTATTAGTATTAATTTTTGTGGTTGTTGCTTTTTGGATAAGATATATACTCTAAAGGCTAGAGTATTTGACGCAAAGATACATCTATCTTGCTTTTTTAATCTCTTTCATAAAAACAGCATCTACAATTGCGTTTGTTTTTATGTAACCGAATACGTCGTAACCATTGTTTTTACTCAAAAAACTGCACAAAAAGGACAGGAATGTTATCGTAAAGTTCTGTATAAAGTGTATGGATTTGTATGTAAATTCTTCTCAACAGCATACGAGTTAAAAAGATTAGCAACTGAAGTGGAAAAAGGTGCTAAAAATGCTTAGGATACGAAAATAGGTGTATATGAAGTATTTGATAGTAAGATGTTCATTCAAACATCAATTTCTAATACTCTACTTATCTAACCGTTGGAGCCATGCATTTTCCTACGTAGTTCATATTAAAAGTCCGAGTTATATGAAACTATATCATGTATTGAATTGATTACTGAGTCTTATTTATACACACTTTACTATGGTTAACATTACTCACTATGAAACTTAGAATTAAACTTTAATTTACATATTTGTATACCGCGTACAGTATTGTTCTAATACTCAAATTAAAGTTTTTAGATTGAATTTCGAAATCCATTCTCAATATTCGAAAGTTTGTTTCTAAATTCTCTAGACCACAGTTTCACGAGAATTAGGCATAATAACACACGATTAATCTTGTTTCATTTTTTCCAATTTGTTACTACTCTGCTAACAATAAAGGTTGGCACCGATTCAGCATTCACAAAAATATAGCTCATACCAATATTCGTCAATATTTGAACGAATAGTTTGTCAGGAATCTGGCACTGAATATATGGAAGACGTTATTTGTAAAATTTATGTTTGTAATAATCTCAGCGGTTGAAATTTAAAGAGTTCCACCGTTTCATCCAACAAACCTGTCTGGGATTCTGCTGGATAATAATCAGAATCGCTAAAGAATGAATTCATATTTCTATCGCTGAGATTGTTTCAAATATAACTTTCACAAATAGAATATAACGTTTTACCCTTTACAAAATATACTCCATTCGGTTCCGTTAACTGTTTTAATACATTTTTATCTCTTGTCAATAACGATCTAAGATCAGTCTGTCTGTTGTAATCAATATAACTAAGGGTCAGATTTGGTAAAAGTGAAAACATTTCGAATATAAAGTGTATACATAAACGTAAAGTTTGCTTACCAATTTGGGTGGTGCCTTTAATAACTTTCGGGAATTTACAAATGTATTTTAACTGCATTTTAACTTTTGAGTTGAAGTTAAATTAGTTTGATGCCTTCACACTTTATTGGTAATCTTGATTTTCACGTAGTTCAATTATCACTACAATGTGCAACACACACGTTGGTATTTGACGTGAAATCTAATTGACTTTTTTTGTAGAAGTATGAATAAAGGAAAATGCTTCACACACTCAGGGAGTTGCTCTGATCCTGTCCAGAGAAGCAAGAAATGCATTTATAGGATGGGAATCTCACGGATCCAGGATCATCAAAGCATCCTTCAAAACAAAGACGGAGGGAATCACAATGCATGTTATCCAATGTTATGCACACACCAATGATCGCAATGACAACAATGAAGACCAGTTCTATAAGAGGCTGTAATCACTCATAGTGAAGTACCCAGAAAACGTCCTGACCATCCTGAAGGGAGACCTAAACGCCAAAGTCGGAATGAATAACACCGGATATGAAGATATCATGGGACGACATGAGCTGGGAGAAAAGAACGAGAATGGTAAGGGATTTGCAAATCTGTGTGCATTCAAAAAATTAGTTGTTCCCCCACAAACACGTACACAAAGCTACATGGGTCTTACCACTCACACCACAGAGAACCAGATTGGTCATATTTACATCACTAAAAAATTCAGAAAGTCGATTGAGGACGTGAGAACCACAAGAGGAGCTGACGTAGATTCAGATCACCACCTGGTTGTGACCAAGATGAAACTGAAGCTAAAGAAACACTGGGCAGCTGAGGAGACAAAATTACAAAATTCAATACAGCCTTCATTCGAGATGCTGTTAAACTCAACGAATCAAGATAGATCTCAACAACTGGTTCCAATCACTACGAGATCTACTCAAAGAAGAAAAAATTTCTATGAAGGACAATGTGGAAGGGGTCAAAGGAGCACTAACTTCAACATGTTAGGAGGTTCTGAGCCTCAAGAGGCATGATTATAAGAATGGGTCTCTATCGAAACCCTGGACAGCATTCAAGAAAGGAAGACCAAGAAGACAGTAATTAAAAACAGCGGAACAAGAGCAGAGAAAGTCAAGACAAGCTAAACAAATAGAAGCAAACAAGCAGGTGATGAGGAAGAGCACTAGAGCTGACAAACAGAAATACGCGATGAACTAGCAACAACACCGGAAAAAACTGCAAGCAAGGCAAATATAAAACAGTTATATAATACAACCAAGAAACTGGCTGATGAATATAAAAAACCAAAGCGATCGGTCAACAACAAAAAAGGCAAGACGATCGAATTCCTTGACCATGATGAAGTATTTGATGGTGTGTGTAAGAGAACTATATGTTACTACAACCATCATCAAAAATGTACGAGTATTTATAAACAGTTGTCTTTGCAAAATACTGAGTGTCCGTTGACCGGATACCATGAGCAACAACCTATTGTGGGAGAGAACAAACCAGCATCCAAATGAAGAGATTAGGAAAGACGTTGGAAGTGGATAAAACATATATTGTGGGAATCATCAAACTGTTTCGCGAGTTAAGCTCCAAGTTGGAATCCTGAATGGGAAAGGGTAAAAGGTTAACCTAATAATACATTGCTCCGGGAATTGGAGGCAGACACCAAAAGGATGAATAGCAAGTGGAAAGGATTGCCCAGGACAGAGTTGGATGGAAAATGCCGGTGGCCGGCCTATGCTGCTCGAGTGGTATCAGGTGTAAGTAAGTTACTAAGTTTAGTAGCCAAAGACTTAACGTCTTTATCGATAAGCGCTACCTTCTACCATCAGCCTTAATGTCAACACTGTGATACAGGTACATCGAACTGACTAGTTGCTAGTTGCTTTCACTAATACGCATAATCCAAAATCTTATAAATGATTTTTTTCCTGTTTCACAATGAGATTTTTTTCAATTTCGAACTGAAAGTTTCATAACTTATAACACTATAGTAATTCTAGGAGATAATGAAATTTTAAAATATTGGTACAGCAAAGTTGTTACAATAATTATTATTAAAATATTTGTTTCTACTTCTTCTGAACTAATATATTATCAGTAAAGTAATTGATTATTAAAATTAAAATGAACTGTGTTGAACATTTACATTTTATGTAAGCCAATGGTTTACATTAACAAAAATTGAAAGAACCACAGTAAATGGTTAACTCTACAACTGTATATTTCCCATTGCATCATCAACTTGGTTCTTTTTATCACTAAACCTGATAATAATTTTTAATATGTAAATTATCTGTCTGCTAGTTCAACTAATATCAACTAGTATGAATCAGTTTTCAGTTTAACTCAGTAATGAACTATAAGTACTTATACACACTTGGTTCTTAACTATACGTTCCTATGTAGTTTAGTTCTTATATTCAACTGATTAAATCAAAGTAGGTGCTATAGAATTCAAACAAGAATTTTTATTGGCTGTTAGGTAAGTTATTTTAAATGAAAATTGTTTCATAATCAGTTTCTAAAGTATTTGTTATAACTTGAAACGAAAATTGCCCATTAATAAATCATTTGTGTTTAAATGAATGTTGTTTAAATACTAATTTTCCATATTTAATGGCTGAATTGCATTATGAACCAAAAGTTGTTACTATTTGTTTGATTATTGAATATCTAATATAAATTAGTTTTGCTAAATTTAATTTGTTAATAGTTAACAAATTTATAGGATTTATCTCATTGTGGTGTTTTATGTTTTGTTTTACCCAGATCATCTTTAGATTTTTAAGACTCGATTCCTAAAGTTAGTTTATTTAAAATATTCGCTGAATTTATTATATTAATTAGATAGCTAATGATTCTATTTGCAACTCATCAGCGAAATGTGCCTGAGGCTCAGTGTTGATATTTATATTGGAACTCGAACTCAATCCCTATCACTTCAAACATCCCCCTAAGCTATTGATTTCAGATAAACACAAATTATTCAACGAGTCTGAAAGTATTGGCAATAATTTGCAATCTCCCATTGTTGATATTCACAACTCTAATTGATCAGTTACTACTGTTATATGTACATAACATATAGAGGCAATTTGCACGGAATGCATATATAACAACAGATATTGTTTAATTTCAGATCTAAACGTCAACAACGAGAAATTGAAAACATCCACCAATATTATTCGTTAATGTTTACAGATAATTATTTTTTAAACTACTAATAACATGCTAGTTTAGGAGAGAAACAGCGACCAATCATATTTGTTGGAATCTTTTATTACCTGCTAATGATATGTCTATGCACTTTAATGGTTAGCTTTTGATCTCAAGTTCAGGGACTGATAAAAATTGAGTAAATTACGTCTTAGATTATAGAGCATTTAGACTATAAATATCATATAAGTAGATGAACTTTGCATCGTGCAGATGAAAACGGCTCGTTTACTTACCTCTAGTTACATATATATGATCGAATCCCTCAAGATACGCAAAAGTATACTAAATCAGTTACTCAGGGACTACTCATGCTACATTCATTATTGAAATTTTTAATCAACCTAAGCTTTACCCTCTAAATAAAGAATCCATGGCCTAGTCAGTAAAAAATCAGGTTCTCAAAGAACTTTGAATGAATTCATGAATCTTTTCTTTTCTTCACTCTTTTGTAAAATTTCTGTTCATAGTTCGCAAACTGGAACCCCGTTCTATCTACTTAATTTTAAATCTCTGTTTGTTATCACAGAATCCTCACATATTGTAGCTCAAATAATCAGCACACAAATCAATTCTTGATTAATGAATTAAATTAGAAATTTCAGTATCCTATTATTCTCACAATAATTTTTATACTTTTTTTTCCAGATGAACTCTTCATCAATTATCAATAAAAATTGGTTGTTTATTTTAACAGGCGATCATGGAATGAGTGATAAAGGCAGTCATGGAGGCTCTACAACTGGTGAAAAAACAACTGGCCTTTTTATGCTTGGATCTAACTGGAATAAAACAAATGATCACTTAACTGAGGTAAATGTATACTTGAGAAAAAAAGTGTACTTTTAAATAATGGCTATTACGTTTGTTTTCTAATTTTTAATAAATCTTAAACAGAAGTGGTTTTGTGGAGATTTTAGAAATTTCAGTAGTCGAAATCGTGAATCAATTGAAGCTAAACCACCATAGAAGACCTGGAAGTACTGGACTGCCGTTTCGTCCTAGGATCGAACTCCTCAGCAGTGCGCATCCACGATCCCACCCCCAGTGAGATATCAGCTCACTGAAGACAATGGTGTACGGTGGCGCAATTTCGTGGATTGGTTGAAGTTAGACATTAACACCGTTGGGTGCCGGCTTAGTGGGCCAATGGTTTGGCGTTCGCACGAAAGACTGATATGTCCTGGGTTCGAATCTTGTGGGGGCGGGGTTTTGGATTATTATTTTCTAAGTAGTGAGACTTCAAAGTATAATTCTTGAAAAAGAACTTATGTATGAAATGTGAAACTGATGAAATTGAAGCTTTTAAAAAAATTAACATATGGTAGGAAAAGAAGAAATAGCTCCAATGAATTTTACAATGTCACAAAGTTATTTATTGGTCAAAGTACGATTTGGTAACGAAAAAGAATAATGAATTTACATTTTCCATTTACATTGATTGTTGGATTTGTTGTTTTGCTTTCTGCGCTTTTCATTCCAATCATTGGATTTTATATGAAGGATTAGTAATACCTGAGTACTTTAGCCTTGTTTTAAGGTCTATTTCGACACAGTCATTTAATAATAAATTATTGGTTACATATCGACAGTCATAGCTATGTATACCTATCTATATTACGTTTTTATCAGCAATACTCACTCATGACCACTTGGAGGAGGTTAATTTTGGGCATTGTGATTGATGCAAGAATCATTAAATCTCATAGTTAAACACTTTTTTGTCGTTCTAAAGAATGATTTTTAAAATGTCTGCAATAGCTACCTCAATTTAATTGTTGGGTCATGAAAATTTTACCGTTTATTTTGTAAACAATTTATTATTACCAGAAAGTACAAACGATTTGATTTACTCGCACTGCAATACTTTTCAACAGCATCGATAAAGATAAAATTTTTGTATTTGAGGTAATAAGACTGCCTGACATTTTGAACTGGAGTGAAACAGAATTTAAGAGTATGAATCAATCGATAAAGACAACGGTTAATTAGATTAATTGATAATTAGGGATTTCGATTGAAAAATAAAATTAACCATTCGTTACTCTTATTTAAACACAAACGATCATCTAAATATATCTATGGAATAATGACTTAATGCGTACACAATCTAATTTTATTATGGGGAGTTTTAGATTTGAACCTGGTTCCATCGGTTTCAATTTAGAAAACTTGGTATTGCCTGTAGGTTTGGCATAAAAAGTGTCGCTTAAGGTTGAATGCATGAATTTGCACTTGGGTTGACAAGTTTCACCAGTATATGTGTATTATTTACAGTATCAGGTATATTACTTGTAAGTCATTTCCCATGTTTATTTCACTGTGGTATGGTAGGATATTGTATACTACTCTCCGTAACGCTCTAACTTAATAAGCGTTTGATTTTGATTTAAATATAGTTATGATCTGTACCATAAATGGGGGATATTAATGCCTTCAATAATTACAATTTTTAAATGATAAAGCACGGCGTATTATGAGAAATCAGTCATTATTATCGATAGTAAAAGTATTACTAGTTGTAAACACTTGGTACGATGTTGACGTATTTATTTAAATAAAGCTTTGGATAGAATCAAGTGTATGGAGTTTGAAAACTTATGATAATTATTTTGATATTTTATGAATAATTACCACTTTCCAACAAGTCCAATTATTGAAAATGACACTACATGATCATTGGAAATGGTTTAGTAGTTCGGTAATTAAAATACTTGATTCCCAACTGTTAGGCAACATGTTCGAATTCATTTTCGGGTAGTAGCACTATGTCTCACAACTAAAATGGGACTCAAAACTGAGTTTTGTTAGGGATATCCAAAGTATTCCTCGAAAAAGTCCAGAGGGGCTCTGAAAACACTGGGAAACATTTCGTCCAATCAGCGTGGAATTTAAGCTTCTCAAAAACATCTAGGCAGTGAAAGGTCACGTGTCACATTTATGATTGCATAATTACCTATTCCACTACTATGTTTACTGTGGTCCCAGAACCTTCCAGAAGCTCAAGATCATCTGAAATACTACAAATACCTTCAATTTTATGTACATAGACTAACCTTAGAGTGAAGCGTTCTTTTCATACATCACGTCTGTTCTCTCGTGTTCATTTTGTCATGTGGATTTTACCTGGGGTTATTAGAACAGCTTAAGGAACCGATTCAAGTGTTCAGTTAAAAGGCTTATCAAGTATGCTAACCAATACAGAGTAAATGAATTATTTCTCACCTTAGAAAGAAAAACAATCTTAAGCGTAGTTCAATCTCTCTCTCTTAGATAGGCTAGATTTACATTTAATTATTACCACGTCAGTAAATGAAACAATGCGTAATAATAATAATAATAGCTTTATTCAATACTGTTATGACTGTGAAAAATAATGCTGCGGATTAAGGGGGAGAGAATTATTGATCGGACCAAAGACGCACAAACACGTAGGACGACCTAGGGTTCTGATTGGTCCTGCTTCCCTGTCCAGCCCAGCCAGTTGAGTCCAGAAGACAAGTCACAACCTCTGAGATATGAATCACTGTATTTCAAACATACTCTGTTTATATACCAAGCAAACAAACCACATCGTACCATAAAAATAGAAAACAACATTTTGTACAATATTCACAAGTGAACAGATATCGACCAATAGGAAATTCCATTTAAAGTCCAAGGACACCATTGGACTTAACATGATAATTATTGGTCTATTCCTGCGCATCCACAACAAATACTATAAATTTTTGCACAGTAAGAGATTCTCATTATCAGTTATACAATATTACTACAAATATCTCTTTGACATAAATTCATATTATAATTACTGAAAACATATTTTGAATTTTTTTAACATTCTGTATCTTTCACCCATGTTCGATGATTAAAGTTTTCTACCAGTTCAACTGATACAACTATGTTCGTAATCTGTGAAACATAAGGTTCTTGAATTCCAAAATATTTGTCTCCTATTTTGTCAACGAATAGATAAAAACAAAAAGTATTTTAGTGTCTCTGTTTGATTGTTGCAGTAATTAGAATCGTGATAACTTTTAACTCTCCTAATTTCAGCCTTTCAATATATCGAGTTAGCACTCACATAATCATTCAGTTTAAACAAATCTAAGACAATTAGGTTAAATGCAATATTTGCACAGTTAGTAAAATAAGTAGCTCCCAAATGTTTAGTCAGGTCTCTGTATTCAAAATCGTCCTTACATCACAAATATCTTTGTTGTTCTATTTGGTAACACCTATAATAATTCACTCATCTTAGATTTAATGTGAAATCATACTTAGAACTTCCAAATCTCATTATAGTTATATTACTAACTAATAATGTTATTTTTTCTGTAATAATTATCAATACAATTGAAGCTTTATACAATTACTCTTTTAATTTACTCTCGTGTTCCTGCAGTATTTTTTAATATTTTTTACTCAAGAACACATGTGTAACAACAAATCTAAAACAGTTGCCACAAACGCAACAAGTTGATTTAGCCACATTAATCGGATTAATTACGGGAGTTGGTATACCAGAGAGAAGTTTAGGCGTTCTATCATCTTCATGGTTGTATAATTTCTGGTCAACAAATTATGATCGATTAAAAGTGCTATATATGTTAATGCAACAAATTGGTCGTTTATCTGGTGAATGTGTATTTTCATTGAAGTCATATCATAAATTTGAGCATAAAAATTGTATATCAAGTGTATGGAGTCAAGAACGAAGTGAGTCTCTCATTTTTAAATAATAAAAGAAATACATTGGTCATTAATGTTATTACATTTCGAAATACTGTATGAATATACTGATTTGGTATCACAACTCAAACGGATGCACATGCACCAGGTTCTATGTTGTTTGCTCCTAGTATCGTAATCTGTATATTCAGTCTTTTTTATTATAATTGACACCGCTATTTTCAATGTTCTAAAATGATGTTGTAACAAGCTCCTTCCGAGACATGTGGCTTTTGAGTTTGATCCCTTGTATGATTATGTGTACACACTGTTGAGAAATTTCAAACTAGAAACATACTTAATTTAAATGTTCTTAGACTTTCCGTGCTTCTGGAATTAACGCCGATTGGCAACAAAAAGTAACTTCAAAATGAAAAATCCTCACAATCTCTCATCTTGATCATAAACATTAGTCTATAAAAGTTGATTATCGAATTCAGCCCAATAATTCTTTGCCCAAGTCCCAAACACTAATTTATATCTGTTCACAAAGAAGAACCGAGTTCAGCCAAAAATCTATCTAATCTGTAATATTATAGCAGTTGGTTTCTATTTACATTCGTTAAATAATACAAATTCAAATTATCAAAGAAACTTTTGTATAACCTAAGTTTATGAATTTATTCATGTATCATTATCAAATACCTTTAATATTAATGCTAATTTGTTGCAAAAACTATTCCATCATTATTATTATACGAACCGACTGGATATCGTTGTGAATTGTTTTCTTTTAATATTTAGTTTTCATTTTATGATGCTTTTTGCTTCAATAAATATTTTTACAGCTACGGAATATAACATTTTGCTAAATGGAATTATCACTTGGTTACATTGCCAAAACACTCAAGGAAATTCAACTAATGAATTCAAGCAAATTGATTGTGTAAAATCGGGTTCTCGTTTAAAAGGTGAAAAACTAATTACTGATACAGTTAACCTACTTAACGGTATACAATCAGAATCTTTGTCAAAAGTTGAACATTTAAATAATAAAAAAATGATATTTGGCGGTATTTTAATGTGGATTGTAAGTTGATTATTTGTAGGTAATTCAAATGCTTTTTCAATCCAATTGTTTCAGGCAGTTGTTTTGTTTTTGTCTGAAATTCTGAAGTACCACTCACCGTTTTGCCAAGGGCTGGATTCAAATCTATCTCTTGTGACGATCACAATATTTGTGCGTCATAAAACGGGAATCCAATAATACTTATCCATTATATTTCACTTCATTTTTCAAGTCCAGTGGCGTGCAAACTTCTATCCAACCACCCTAACCGAAGTCTATGTGTCAAAATTTGAAACTGGAAATGGTTAACTAAAAGATAAACTGTCTAATTAATAAACTATCGCTTTACATTTTAAAGTAAGAAAATCTAATAAGAAATTAAAAACTGTATACGCTGTTTTAAACTAATAGACTTCGGATGAAATGTTTTATATTAGTACTAAATATGTGCTAAACGACTGTAAACTGAAAAGCTTAGCAACATGTAGGTGGTGTTCATACTCACAATCAAAACAATAAATAATGGTTTTACACTAAGGATTCCAGACCCATTATTATATACGGACTCATTTTATTCATAGCTGCAAGTAATATATATACGCTAATTGATAACCTGATAGCAACAGATTTCTTATCAATGAATGTAGGAGGATATCCGTTTTTGATAAGAATCTCTTTTAAAAGGCTCAATTCTTCCTCTGCGACCTCGGGGCGAGAGTTATTATTAAGTTTTGTTTTTCGGCTGATGGGAACCCAACTGTGGAAATTTGATAGTTGGCCATTCCACATGGGTTTCCTGTAGATAGCTCTTTTTAAAGTACCATCTTGTTTTCTTGCTATATCTACATCAAGGAAGTGAATATTTTGTTTGCTTTCAACTTCAAGTGTGAATTTTATTGATGGGTGACAATTATTAAATGTCTCTAGGAGATCACTTAAGTTACATTTGTTGTCACAAATGATAAAGATATCATCCACACACCTTTTATACAAGTGGAGGTTTTCTATAATTCTTTTGAGTTGGTTGCTTTATAAACTGGCCATGAAGCAATCTGCCAGTAATGGACCAAGTGGCGATCCCATTGCTATACCATCCTTCTGTCTATGAATTACATCGTTGAATGTGAACTGTACATTGCATGTGCAGCGTAGTAATAGTTCCTTCAAATAAACCTCAGGTATCCCAATGTTTATCCCAATATTGTTTATGTACTTACAGATAAAATTAATGGTCTCTGTGAGTGGAACATTAGTGAATAATGATTCCACATCCAGCGATAGCATAATTTTGTCACTTACATTCACTTCTTTTATGTGCTCGATAAATTCAAAAGTATCACGTACGGAATGTTTACAAATGAGTTTTCTAACGAATTCTAAGAGATTCGCAACAGATTTCATGCTTAATTCTTTATCCTAATCAAATTCTACCATTCAAGTTTCAATATGACTACTAGCTGAAACAAGTCAATATATCGATGCAACCTGTGTGACCTTATATAATTGGAGCTAATCTAGATTCAACCCTAAACTTCGGTCTCATGCTAGTTGGCCACTAATCAAGATGATGTACCTACACTCTTAAAGGAAACTTCTGTTCCTTGGAACGAATGATTCAAATCAGTGTGACTGTCAGAGATATATTACCATAGAGATACTTGGTTAGGATATAGTTATCATTCTTTATACTGATTAAATTAAATTAAATTTCCTCATAAACCTTTGCAAAATTAGACAGTTTTTTGTCTATTTTTTTGGACATAAAAATGATTTATTATAGGTTACCTTACTGCTGTTTCACAAGATTCTCAATTCAGTTATTTACTCTTCCGATACCAAAAATCCTTTGACAAACAGAAAAGTAAGTAATATGCGTTCAGTTATTTCAATTTTACCTTCAGTGTAATAGTGCAGATAGACTCCAGTGGATTATTAATACTGACTAACTTTTACACTAGAGTTTTTATAGATTAATATATTTAAACTGGAATTACGGAGAGTATTCAGTACGTATTTAGCTAGGCTAACATTAATTAATTAACAATCAAAAAAGAAGGTTGGGGTACTGGAAAACTGTCGCATCCTAGTTTTTTGGAGCTCAACAACCAATCATTTTCGAGTACTTCTACATTAGTCCTAAACGCGGATGAGACAGTTGTTCAATGAATTCCTGATTTCTTAATAATCTTACAATACCCAGCAAGCCTCGATAATCTTATATACTAATCCATATAAACTACCTTCTTTCTCACTGTATATATTGATAATCTTCCACTTATCCTGAAGTATATTGTTTTATTTAAGGACTACTTCTAACTATCAATTTAATAAATTGATGAATTTTATTTTGGAAAATTTAAGGTGTGATTTTGTAGTCTTTAAGATTTCTATTTGTATGGTCCATACAAACTATTTTGTATTATTCTGTTTCAAAGATTTATTATTAATTCTGTATAATACTTTCTTTTTTCATGAGATATATCTGTTTATATCTAATAGCTAATTGTTTTTATTAAGATAGTACAAGAAGAGGTGAAATTTGATACTAGGGTAGTTATTTTTCAATAAATAAGCTTACATACTTTGAATGAGCATTCATCAAAACTATTATTTTAATGGTACTATTATACAGAACTTATTGTAAGCTATCTTTTGACTCACTCACCTACATGAATTGCGAATACCACTAAATCCAGATTACGAGTTTCATCTAATTTTGAACTCGTCAGATGGATATACCTGGGTCCCAACGTTGAAGTTAATATCGAGACTCGAACCCAGTTGACTAGTGCTTTAGACGTCAACGCCTAATCTACTGAGTTACTGATTCCGGGAAGCTATCGACTTGTTCAACATGCATGGTGTGTTGATAAGCAATTGCCTCAGAATGCCGGTACATCCAACAAAGATCTAACTATAATCCTTAATTTCATTAATTATCGTTATATTTTCTCACCTTTCATGAATTATCTGTTAAATATCAATACGTTTTTTAACTATTTATCTAAAAATATACAAGTTCAGTACCTAGTTAGGCTTGCAAATTGTAGTGTGGTTGTGGTACTTTTGATTGTACCTTTGTGTTTTGAGTCCTGTTGTAATTAAAGATGGGGGAACGCAAAACTGCGACATTTTCCATCGATCGTTTAGCAAATAAAGCATAATGATCTTATACAACTCTAATTCGTTTTGTAAAATTCCACCTAAATTTCGAATTTCTACAACTTATGTCCAAACACAGCGTTTCTCATTCTATTGTACTACAATACACGAATATTGCTTGTACAAAAGCTGTGAGCACACACTAGTATATTACACTTACCATAAAGCCTCATAAAGCTGAACTGTCATCACTTAACGTCACTGTCAGTAGTTCTGTGCCATCAATTTAAGATAATCTTTAAGGGGTCTTTTTTAACTAACTTTATACCAAAAATGTGGAGAAAGATAAAGACAATCTCAATATCAAAGAAAGTATCTGGTGATGAGAATGAGAAATTTAGGTCAATTTAAATAACTTCTCCCTTCCTCAAAACAATGGAAAAACTATTGCTACTTTCACTTCATCCTGCGTTAAAAGAACATATTGATCTATATCGATCTGCTAACAAGCGCAAAAGAAGTACCTTAGATGCTGCTTCTGTTATGTATCACAATACAGTATTTAGTTTCTTGACATCAGGGCTGCCTTCGATTCGGTGGACAGGACTGTCCTCTGGGATTGTCCATTGAAGAAGGGTGTGCCTGAGAAGTTTATTAACATCCTAAAAGCCCTATATACAAACACCTCAGGCAGAGTGAGGGCATACAACCACCACTCTCCATTGTTCCATTCGAGCAGTGGGGTTAGGCAGGGTTGCCCAATCTCACCATTCCTCTTCAACTTCGCCATCGATGACATTCTGGAAACAGCTCTGATGGATGTAAGTAATGGTGGTGTGGATCTGTTGCCTGGAGAAAGACTTCTCGACCTTGAGTATGCGTATGATATCGTCTTACTGTGTGATAATGCATAAGGCATGCAATCCGCACTTAATCAGTTGGCAATCAATGTCCGTAAGTATGGTATGTGCTTTGCGCCTTCGAAGTGCAAAGTACTCCTACAAGACTAGCAGGATTCTAATCCTGTACTCACCCTGGATGGTGAGCAGATAGAAGTAGTCGAGACGTTCGTGGGTCTGTGTAGTTTCGGAAGTGCTGATGTTGGCTTGAATAATGAGAAGAAGTCACGTTTATTAAAAGCCACAGCAGCTTATGCCAATCTGAACCATGTTTGGCGCCTTCGTGATATTAGTCTGGCTGTGAAAGGTCGGATCTACAACGCTTCGGTAAGAGCAGTTTTGTTCTATGCTTGTGAAACCTAGCCTTTCCGAGTTGAGGATTTTAGACAACTCTCTGTGTTCGACCATCGCTGTCTCCGGAGGATTGCTGACATCCAGTGGTAACATCATGTTAGTAATGCAGAGGTTCGGCATTATTATTATTATTATTATTATTATTATTATTATTATTATTATTATTATTATTATTATTAATGGCTTTATTCAATATTATAGTTTTGGTACAACATAGAATTCTCAGCACAGGTTATTTCAACAAGTTACTTACGCAACAACAAAAAAACAGTAACGAATACAAAAAAAGATAAATGTTTTTTTTCAGAAAAGAAAAACGAAAAAAAACGAAAAACTGCACAACTTTTAGAATTAAGGACATATTAAGAATGCAAGTTATTGACTAAGTTGACTCTAACAACCTGTTCGTCACAGAGTATATTTGCTAGGTAAGGTATTATAGAACTTTTATACTTTTGCTTGCGTGCATGGATTTTAATGTAATTACGTCTCGTTCTACCAGAAGATATACAAGGAGAAAGATAAGAGTGAAGGGGATGGCTAGTATCTGATAAAATAACACCTGCCAGGAGTTTGCATGATTTTAAATGTCTATCCACAACCATATTAATTATGATCTCGAAAGATTCACCACACCTCTTGCTAACTGCCTTCAGCACTCTCCGCAATACACCAAAGTCTTTCCTCAAAAGCCCGGGAAAGAATAATGGAGAACAATAAAGAATAATAGGTAATATGCAAGAATTGACAAATTGTAAGAGTAAATGACGAGTAATTCCAAGAGCGTGCAATCTCTTTATGTAATAGGTCAGACGGAAAACCTTCTTCGATAACGATAAAACGTGGGAAGACCAAGACAGATCAGAGGAAAAGGTGACACCAAGATAATTGACCTTCGACACTGTGTATATCAAAGAGTCTCCGATGGTACAAGCATTATGGGATCTCAAAATGGTGTTTAGATTCCGTTCATGTCTCATACTAAAGTTAACAGCTTGACATTTAGACGGATTACGTATGAGACCATTACCAACAGACCAACAATCAATACGAGACAAAAACTCTTTCATTTCTATGGGATGTAAAGAGGAAGAGATAGGCATACATACAGTAAGATCATCCGCATATTTCAAAAAAGTGTCTTCTGTAGAAGATGGCAGATCATGCAGAGAAAAGAAAGAACAGCTCCTTGTAGTACACCTTCATGAGACAGTAGAGACTGAACACTTTCCTCCAAACACAGTGTACTGTTCCCTTCCAGAGAGGTAGGAACATAGCCAGTTAGTTATCCAGCTGTCAGTGTTGACGCTGACTAACTTGTTAATTAAACGTTATCTTGGTATAGAATCAAAAGCTGAAGCATAGTCCAGAAAAGCACATCGAACATACTGCTGACCCTTTTCTAAGTTGAACACTATGTTGTGATGCAGAACAGTAACAGCATCTAAAGTGCTTCTTTTGTGTCTGTAAGCAAACTGATATGGATCAATATGCTCTTTTATCGCAGGCTGAAGTGGAAGTATTAATAATTTTTCCATTGTTTTGAGGAAGGGTGAAGTTATTGCAATAGGTCTAAATTTTACATTCTTATCACCAGATGCTTTCTTGGGTACAGGAATTATCTTCATCTTTCTCCACATTTTTGGTATGAGATTAGATGAGAAGAATTTGTTAAAGATAGCTGTGAACGGATAACATAGCATCGTGTGTTCGGGCACAGAGATGATAATGCAATTGGTGTCACCATCTTGAAACACCGACTTCGGTGGCCTGGACATGTTCTACGAATGTTGTCCCAGAGAATTCCACGTCGTGCATTACTTGCCGACTCTGGGACTGGTTGGAAAAAGCGGAGAGGTGGTCAGTGTATGACATGGTGTTGTTGTATGAAAGAAAGTTGCAAAGGGCTGACTTGTGTTGGTCCTTCACGACTCCCTAGCTGGGATCAGAGAGATGGTGCAACACAATGGCTAGAGACGTTATCAGATATGGCTCAGAATAGAGGCCAGTGGCGATGCTGCTGTAACCTTTTACTTTCTCCATAAAAAGTGGTTGTATCTTCCATAACTGAAAGATTTCTTCTGATTGTACCTTTCCGTTTCCTCCGTTATTATTATTATTATTTTCATTATTATTATTACACTACCTTACACTAATCTGTTCGTCACTGTTCTTTTTTTACTCTCCATACCTTCTTTTTTTTCCTCTTCGAATTCTCGTTGTTTTGTGTGGCGCATATATAATGGGTGTCCGCTTGTACCAATATTTATGTGTTCAAATAAATAAGTAAATAACAGTATTCAATTGAGATTAGGGTAAGAAGTATGTTCGATGCGCATTTGTAGACTATACTTGTGTTTTCGACTCTATTGCAAGACCACTACTACTAAACAATTTTTCAGTCGTGAACATCGATAGCTGTATGTACACCGATTCCTGTCTCTGTACATCCTCTTAGAATGAATTTGGTCTTGTTTCTCATTGAACGATAGTCTGTTGTTAATGGTCTCACACTTAATCCTTCTAAATGTCAAACTGTTAATTTTAGCCTAAGACATGAAAACACCCTGTTGTAATCCCACAAAGTCTGTACTCTTGGAAATTTTGTTATAAAAGTCATATCGAAGGTCGTTTATCTTAATGTGAATTTTGCCTCTAATCTCTCTCGATCTTCTCAAGTTTTAATGACATCGAATAAAGCTTTCCATTCAACTTATTATATAAAGAGACTATATGCTTTTGGTATTCCTTGACATCTACTTTTATGATTTCCCGATTCTTTCATACTACGTATTATTCCTTTCTGTTCCCCATTCTTATTTCTCGGGTTTTTAAAAGAAGGTTTTGGTGTGTTGAGAAGAGTGCTGAAGGCAGTAAGTAGAATGTGTGGTGAATCTTTTGAGATAATTATGAATATGTTCGTGGATATACATTTAAAAAGTTGCAGACTCCTGAAATGTGTTATGTTATCAGACACTGACCATCCATTTCATTCGTATCTTTCTCCTTGTATATCTTCTGGTAGAATAAGACTTCAATACATTGGAATCCATGCACTCAAGCAAAGTTATAAAAGCTCTACTATACCTTATCTAGAAAATATACTAAGCGACGGACAGGTTGTAAGAACTGACCTAGTTAATAACTTATATTCTTAAACATGTTTTTAATTAAAAGTTGTACAGACTTTAATCTTCTTAAGAAAATATTTCACTTGATCCCAGGTAGTTTGTTTACCTAATTTATTTATATATGTGTGCAGCTATCGGATTTTTCTGTTTTGTAAAATAAACTTGTTGAAGTAATTGGTTCTGAAAATTCTATACTGTACTAGACATACAATATTAAATAAAGCTTTTGTTAGTAATACACTCCTGCTATATTTGACTTGGTCAACTCCTTAATCAAACAAGATTTCGTCTGTTTTTAATTTCTCACCTTTTCCACAATTTCTTTTCGACTTTTTTTTACAGAATCAAAAAACAATAATTCAGTATTATTATTCGGATGCAGCTGATTTGAGTTATTCATTTGATCCATTATTAGTTCAAATTATCTGTTGGTTCGGCACAATTTGCTTAGTTCTACATTCCATCAGTTTAGCATCAAGTAGTTGGGCTGAAGAAGAACATCAATTATGGTATTATTTTAGTTCAAGTCTTATATTACTGACTAGTTTGTTAATTCTACTTGGCAATGTCAGTTCAAGTGTGAAATGGGTCATTTTAAAAATTATTTTTAAAATACTTTTATTAGATCGCTTCCTATTGCGTAGACTACATCAAACTGGTAATAAATGGATACATTCACCGGATATATCTGACTGGTTGTACAAGTAAGATTATTATTATTATTATTATTGTTATTATTATGTATAGGAGTTGTATCAGAAGCTGACAGTATTCAAACCATTTGACTTTTAAGCACTATGTCAGACGTTTAAACCCCACTTATCCTGTTTACGTTGGCAGCTGGATTGCAAAATTCACCTTTGCTGCTGATTTGTCACTCGGAAACAGCGTACGTAATCTCTAAAAAACCACTTTAGGAAGTAAATACAAAGTGTTAGAGACCATTAATTATTAATTCGAAACCTAATTTGTGTAGAAATCATTGCTGCAGATGTTTGAGCATTATACATTCATTCATACAGTTAGACTGAAAAATAATCATGTTGTTTCGAGGACCACTATAAGTCATAATTAGTTCGAAAATGTACTACTCATCTTTATTTCTGCTTAGGATATAAAGATCCATATTAGATATCTTTAGAAATAGCATTTTTTTTTTCGAGTTATTCACAGCCCCTTCTACATGATTGTTATTTTATCCACTGTTATAATGATAACTACATATTTTAGAAACCCATATCTAACTTTTAGTTTCCCTTTTGACCTTCAAATTTTTTTTGGGAAAATTGAAGTTAGCTTTCATCATGGTTTGACATTAGTTCGGGAATTACTAAGAATTCAGAGATATTGGACCTTTTTTGTTTTGGTTCTAGACTCTATTGAGGGTTGCATTCAGAACATTTCATTCTTATGTGATGATTGTGGTCAGTTTGACCTATTGACCTGAAACCCCCCAAATTCAGTCAGTCAGTATAATAAGTTAGATGATAAAATGATATCGGTAACAACTGCTATGACATTTGATGCAACTGTATTTTCATATTTTTCCGTTCTGAACCGATATGAAACAGAATTTCAGGCTACTTACTTAGTAGATTGAGTAAGCATTAAAAATAAAAAAAGCAATCCTATTGAAAAAGATTAAGGCTTTCCAAGGGCATGGTACATATTATCAAAACAGTGTTTTCTATCGAATGTAGATGATTAATCATAACGACGAAGAAATCATAGAGTACTTAAGGCTAGGGTCTGGATTAAGGATTAGTATTTAGGATCACCCTAAATCCTATTGTTGCATCCAGCCTTAAACATAGGTTTAACACTAGCCTTACACTGTATCGAATATCCTTTGAATTCAATGCAGGAGCACTCATGGTCTATTTTGAAAAGTTCCATAATTCTATAAAAACAATTTACTAACTGCAAATTATTCCACTGAGCATCATATATCATTCATTCATATATACTGAATAGGGTCAAGAATTTCTGAAGTTAATTTTAAGAGTAGTAGTTCAATTTCGTGTTTATTTTTATTTATCAATAAATTGTTTTCATTGTGAGTTATCATAGAATAATTGCATTTCATTGTATATAAACCCATGTAAGGTGATGAGCTACAAAAACACACTATCAATTACTGTATGTCATCTTTAACGTCTTCATATCCATGTACCATACCCAGTTCTTTCAGTTATATTTCCACCAATTTAGTGTGTGAGCTGTGTAATTTTCATTACACGTTCCACCTTCAGCCGTAGCTTTCACTACATATATTTATGTTTTTCATCCGGCATGTTCAGTAGGCTGAGTAACACTGGATGTCTCAATAATATGGTAGTGGCGCTGTGTCTTAAACGCTCAAGGCTGACCAAGCCTCACAGCCCCACCACATGGATGTGATTTAGTGGGGAAGTCGGTACCACGGGGTCCTGGCGCGCGGGCGTCGCACCAAGGCGATGTATACCGCTAACATAGGTTTTTACCTATTCATCCCTCTGCATACACAGGTATACACACCCTGGGGGAAAAATGCGTTATACGTATACCGGTAACACACGTTTTTACTCATGCATCTTATAGCATACATGTAAGTATATTCACTCACCTGAGAGGTTATCTGATCAACCCTTCCTTCGAACATATTTGCCACAACTGACTCTTATGCATTTCTTGTATGCCACTGGTACGATTTTTACCCTCGCACTTCATGATATACAAATAAGCGTTAGTACTTTCAGGGAGGGCTGAAGATCACCTTTCACTAGGATTTGCTTCCATATCTTTTTATTTTGTCTTCGACCTACTGGTTTAGACCGCTGATTTTATTCGACATAGTGCAGACGTTTGAGCTTTCGTTCCTTTTGCGAACATAATTATACATTTAGGGTAACCCCGTAGATTTGGTAGCCTCAAGCTTCGAATCCCCCAAACTCATTTTCAGCATAGGAGTAGTGGATTAGTCCGATCTCCGCTGACCGCATAAATTAGCTCGCAGGGTTTTCCCCACTACCAGCGCTACGTTAAGACTTTGAGTCGGATTTCTCTGTCAATAACATACACACTCATAATTGCAAATATAACTGCAAACCAATAAATTTTAATAACATTTCATCATGATAAGTAGTTGTATGCTTTTATTTAGTAAACTAATTATTCTAAAATAGTGTTTGTTAATGCTGCAGTTGATTTTACATGTTTCAACTTGTTATCGATAATTTTCTAATTCAGCTTTTATTTAAACACATATCAAATAAGCATAGAAAGCAATTGTATAGGCCCACCATTTTGATAAATGATTCATTTTTTAAATTTTTATTACTAAGGTACTTATCTTAAAATATAGATGTTCTTTTCATATGCAGAATTACGTTGTTTTTCAAGAATGTAACTTTTTCGTATATTGTTAATGTATGGAAATTTGATGGGAAGTTCATAACCAACAGAAGTAGTTGCTTCGTTTCATGAGACACTATTCTAACATTTCCAATTTTTAAAATTGAATTACGTAATTAAAACACTTTGACTTCAAACGAGTGAATATATTACATCATTTTGCATTCATTCAACAACACAATCAGTTAATTCTCATTCTAAAACATTATTCTTTTTGAAATAATCCACCAACTAGTTGATAATTAGCTGTGTAGGTTATCATCGTCGATGGGATTGGTGGAGTATTCGGTCAGCAACTATGCTAATTGATTTTGTAGCCCAAGTTGAATGATATACAATATGGAAAACAAAATCAAACGAGAATTAGGCGAAGTCCACTTACGTTAATAAAGTAAACTGACGCTCAACAAAGTTGAAATTTTTCTAGATTTTCCACTAGGATTTAATAAATAATGGTAGACATAAACAATTCAAAAGTAAATAATAGTTAATGAAACTATACTTCACTCTTGAAACATTCGAATTCCTGAAAACAATATTTGTTTTTAAGTTTCATAATTCTTTACTTTCTTTTCTTCTTGTCTAATTTATAGTTCATACTTTGAATAATATGAAACGTATACAAGAAATCATAAAAGTTAATTTATAATTTCGTCAACTTTTATTCAATTAAATATACATAACTTTATAGTGAAAGAATATTGATTTTATAGGAGAGAAACAGAATATTAACGTGTTAAAGCATGAATGAATGGTTATATATATATATATATATATAAAGTTGTTGTAAACGGTTGCTTATAATCATGTTCTACTACATTTTTCAATCATTTGATTGGCATGCATATTCCTCTTTTACGTCATCTGACCGTAGCTACTACCTATATCGCGGTGACCTAAAGGAGTTTTATGGGCTAGAGCATTCGTTTCTTGTGGTCATACTATACCAGGAAGGTTGGTTGTAGAGCAGTAAGATTGGAAGTCTCGAATTCTAATCCAAGTAAAAGGCCGTATTACTGACTCTATGGGGAGCTCGCGACCATTTACGTGTTCCTCTCAGACAACCAGAACTTGCAACGATGTTGGTTTATCACAACTGCAGGAGTGTTAAAGCTTTTAACCTTAAGAGACCACTTCCCACCTTACTCCACATAATTCCATCGCTAACAATAGGGACTGTAAAATGTAGAAAAAAAACTCACAATAAAGAGTTGTCTGAGTAGGCTCAGGCAGTTGTCCATTAGGTTCTGAAGTCATGCTACCAAATCAGCAAGAATACTCTTAACCCAGTTTGTTTTTCAGATTCCTTAATAAGAATTGCTTTTCCTTGGTGAGGAAAACCAGGTAGTATCAATTGCTCTCATACCTCTAACAATAATCGAAGTCATCTTGACTGAATACTATAAGTCATAATTAGTTCGAAAATGTACTACTCATCTTTATTGCTGTTCATGTATAATTTCCTTCAGACCTGAACACGTCGCAGTGTTATGGACTTGTTTATTGTTTTGGTGGATTGTATTTCTAGTATTTCGTTTCAAAGCAATTATTCATCTGCGTCCTAATTGTTCATTATGGGAAAAATGTCAATATTATGCCCCAATGATCAGTGGAGCTTTCATAGTTCTCAACCAATTATTATATAGAGCAGCAGTATCAGATTACGAACAGTAAGTTTTTATCTTGGTAGTTTTTAAAAAAGTCTGTGTAATGTGTAAATATATGGATGAAACAGCTTTTGGCTTCACTAATTTACAAACAAAAGATTGTTGATGATAATTGGTGCTTCCTTATTCAGAGAGTGTAATAATCGAGATAGAACTGTGTATAATACCTTCTGATTTTAAATAGTTTTCATTTTGTCATTAGTCTGTGATATAATGTATGTTCATTGCGAATAAAGTGTTCATAAAAATTGCCATTATAAATAATTACTACATTGATTGTTAGCAACCAGCTTTGTACTAGATTTTCCGAGCTTGTAATAGGAATCCATTAATTTTGGAGTTCGACCATATCAATTATGATATAGTTATCTCCAGTGAGGCTGGACAGCGACCGTTGGTAATCGCGGGTTAACTGAGGTTTGGGATGTGGACTCCTGTGACTTTGCTTAGTTGGTTAAATAGATTTTAATGTCCTGGGAGTACTACTGTGAAGGTTTCACATATATAGACGAAAGAATTATTCAGTACCTCCAAGTTTTCATTGGTTCTCTAGGCGATATCACTTTTTCATGCGGAAAATTATCTTCGACTTCTACGAATGTTAAAATATCTATTTCACACTGTTCCTTTTGTCAAATAATTAGTTCCTTTAAAGTAGAATGGTTTCCCACTCAAGTTTATGGATAGTGATCTGAAACCAAAACGTCAAGTTGGAAGTACTTTCACAGTTCGGAAGAAAGTTGTATTCATGAATATTAAATCCAGGGGCAATATGTCTGGAGAAATACTAAAGGGTGAAAGGCATTTTATTCAACTGGGCTCCGAATTGTTTCCTGCAGTAAGAATTTCACTCGAGAAGTGTCAAGGATAAAACTGCAGCTTCGGGTCACATCATTGTGTATTTACCAGTTCATTTGCCTTTGTAGAGCACGTTATATCGGCCGTGTACTCGGTAACCAAATACCCGAGAACCACCCTGCATGGCTAGCTAGAGAGGTATACAAATAAATCAACAGCTTAATCCTTGAACAGATGATCAACTCTAGTCACATTCCACCACAAGAATCGTCTTTCAAGATTATGTATAGAATCAAAAGAACTGGCTCTAAACAGGTTTTGATGATAAATTTGCGCACACCTGACGCGATAACAGTTTGCCATTTCAAGCCTTACCTCTCTGTACAAAAGAGTCATGTTCACTTCATTGTATGGTCATAACAACCTTCCTAGTTTTGAAATTGTATACGCTAATTATTATCTTATTTTTCATGTTCTTCTTCGTAAAGTAGGCAGTTGTCTTGTGCACTTATTGTATAAGCTATTACTTTGCATTAATTCTGAAGCTATTATACAACAGCAACAAAGTGTAACTCTGAGTTTCTAACCATCACCTGAGTAAACAATAAACTTTCAAATGTTTCTCGCTAACTTTTTAGGTATATCATCTATGATGTGTACGTCGAGTTTATTTTTCATAATTTATATACTGTCGTAATGGCAACAATTCAAATGTGATAATATTTGAAACTTTGCAATTTGAAAAAAGGAACTGATCCTGTTTTTTTATGATTTCATTTATTTACTTAGTTCAATATCCACTTAGCTCGAATTGTTACCAAATGTTAATTTTCATCTGACAAATATTTTAAGATTAGACGTAAGATTATTACAATTAATACTGATTTATAGTGTTTTTATCCCTTAATAAGTTTTTATTTGTCTTACTTTCAGTGAAGATGCTATACAATCAGCTCGAATTGTTTACTTGTTATGCTTAATAGATGCATTTTGTTTGTATAAATCAAGAAGTATACGTTTAAATAAAAATGCTAATCGTTTATTTGGTCAAACATCAGCAAATTCATCAAAAACATTTTGGGATTCAATTGTTCATCCGTTATCTACATTAAATATACTTGTGTGTTTACTTGGTAAACCTGTGATTACAATTCTATGGCTTAGCATATGGATTAAAGAAGCGTTAACATCCGAAATGATACAAGTAATATTTCATTATTCGGGTATTCATTCATCGCATAATACATTTCGTTATATTTTGCCATTCTGTTCATGGCTTATCTACTGGACTCAAGGCTGGGTGAGCTTTTTCCAACAAGTAAGTAATATATATATATATATATATATATATATATATATATATATATATAATTAGATTTATTGCATATAAAGTCAACCTCCATTTCATAGTAATACTGACTATTAATATAAGTATTAGCTTTTTTTATTTTCTCTGCTATCATACTGCTTGGTTTTGTTCCTTGAAATAATAGTAAGTCATAGCTGAGATCCCAATTTGTAGTGCTGATACATACTTTTAAGTTGATGGTGTTACTTTTTCTTATATTTACACATTCTCATTGAAATACTTGAATCGTTGTTTTGCACAAAATTACTGACGCTTACAACATAATGATTAAACGGTTTACGCCTTTTTATCACTGAGTTATCATTTAATTATCAACTAGGTAATAAAATCTGATAAATCATGTTGAAATATTGTGTTTGAATCCGTTAATCCTATTTAAATGATTGTTTATATTTAAAAAATTAATTGAACTGACCAGTACACCTACATGTTACTATGTGGGTTTTTGGATGGATTTAATTGCTTTTGTCTATAATGATGTGTAAAAATTAACTGCATTTTTTCATTTCGAATAAGTAGTTTAACAGTAATATGTTCATCTAAAAATAAGACAGTTCGCACACTTTAAAAAACTTTCAAATTAAAATAACACAGTTCTAATGATAGTTAGGAACGTAAATTTTGTGATTGTTAGTTGACACCATTATAGTTTGACTAAAGTGTCGAAGGAGATCTCACAATTTTCATGATTTCGCCCTATACCATCTAACCACCATCTATGAAATCTTTAAGTAGACGTCAAGTAGTCATCATAAGGTAACTTATGCTAGGAATAAAGCAAAACTAATCAGGCTAAATGCAATAAAGAAGACGAACATGACAGATAAGGACTTATTATACATCGAGAATAAATTCTAACAAATCACACCTAGCTGTTGGTGCGATGGAACCGACAACGTGAATAATAAATCTTAAGTGATTATATCACTTATGCTATACCTAAATTTTAGCCTATCAAAAGGGTTCATTGAACTTTCTTAGTATACTGTAAATACTTATATTCAAACCTGAGATCCAAGTATTGTTCAATCAACAATGGACAAAAATTTATGGAAAAAAATACTGGAAAATCACTTCAGATAACTCATAATCCAATATTGTTAACTGTTCATTTTTCTTAAAATGTTATTTCAGGGGAATTCCTTGAGCTTTTCTACCATCGATCTATCTGCAGCGTATGTTGGTCTTCGATATCATCAACCAATAATAGCCGGTCTACTTTTAGCCTTTTACACTTACTCTGGACCATTAATATGGCAGTTAGCCTATTTTTGTCGATTTGTTTTATCTAGATATAAACATTTTGGTGAAAAGTTTAATTGTCTTGTATTAGGTTTTATTGTATTACCTATTACGTTATGTGGCACATTTTGTTTCTTTCTACAATCACATTTATTTATTTGGACAGTTTTTGCACCGAAGATGTTGTATTCTGCTGTATTATATTTAACTATGGTTCCTGTTTTATGTATTTGGTCTGTGATAACCCCATAAATGTAATTTTAAGCAAAAATGTATGAATATATGTGGTTTTATTTCATGTCTTAAATGTTCTAGTGTTTTCTGTTTTATGCTTCTCATTTCCAATCTCTCTTGATGCTGAACTCTGTCGTTTTAGACTTAGAAAAAAAAGTAAGTCAGTTTAAAGTGATAACCACAGCAATAAGATTAAGGAAGTCGCTCGTAACATGAACATAAAACCGATAAGGGAAACATCGGCTTAATGTTTGCATTTGTCTATTGATCCATCTGAAATTGGAATGTCCATGAGTATTTAGTTATTTACTGAAAAAAGTTACCTTTTGTAGGCTTTAGCTGTGTCATTGAAAGGATTATCATGTGACCAGATTTCTTAACTTAAACTCTAGGTCACACTTCATCGAAGTGCCAAATAAGTGATGATCACAGAAACAAAAGGAGTTATCGGTGGCTCAAATGTCATATTTACTGGAAGCCATATTTTAAACGTTGCTTTAACACATTAATGCAGTAGCATCTGGTCTCTTTAGGATTTAAAAGTTCAACTATTTAATTTTATTGTTTAATAAAAACTGAAGAAGTGAAGTTTTTCTGACGATCACTAACAATTACTAAACGAAGATGGCTATTCTTCATCTTCCGGAGATTCTTTGAACCAGTTTAATGAATGGTATCCTTCGTTAATACCGATTGTTTGTCAACTGTTATAGTCTCCAGCTGTGAGCTTTGGAAATTCATTTCTGTCACTAGCGTCAGAGGATATTTCTGTCAGTGCTGTGATCTGTTTACCTCCAGGTCCCTGGTTAAACTACTCTAGGTCTGACGTACATGATAAACAACCAGTGCGAACAAATACTACACTAATAGTTGTAACAACCACTGTCACCTCCATACATCATGGACGCATTTATCCATGAGAAATTTAGAAAGAGTCGTTGAGTCCCGTTAACCACCGTGTCTGCGATATTTCACATATCACATCCCTGTTTCTCAGTTATTTATCCAATGTACGGTGGTCCATCGGATCTAAACATAGAAATAGTAGACAAATTGGCAGTAGACTATCGGACACCTAAGCAAACCACTTCTGAATCTGTTACTGATCTGTGAACTGTGACCACAGGGGAGTTCTCCAGTGAAAATTAATGCGTAGTGATAAAATCCATCTAACTCCATACTCTAACTGAGCTCTTGCCGGTTGAATTTAATTGTGTTTTGTATTAATTGAGTTGTGTGATTATGCACATTTGAAACCAGATCCATTTCCCTTTTCTGGTTGATGCCTGTAAATTTACAGGATGATTTCTCTTGATATTTACACTAACTGATGATTCCTTTGTATTTGATTGTCCGCTGATCACGAATTTCAAATAAGATGCCTTCGTTTGTGCTCATTTAGTTCTCCTTTCCTTATATTGAATTATTTCGGGAATTCCTAGTTAGCACATTAATACGAATACTTCTAATTATTATATAGGCGTTGTGATTGGGCCTGTGGATACAGTTGGATATACATCTGGGAATCTTTAGCAAGGTTTAAAATCTGGAGCATGACCAAAAACAATGTTAAGGATGGTAAAATTGTGGCTCAATGCCATCGAAAGGGGTGCCTACAGCTCACCAAATCTTCGGCATTCCCAGATAAGCCTATTTCACTTACCTCCATAACTCAAAGAACTAATACAAAATCAGGTAAATTGTACTGAATTTCACAGAATGATTCATCAGGAACACCAAAATGTCAAAGAATATGTTCTTGAATTGCAGAAACAATCCGCCAAGTGTAATTGTGATGATCAACCTCATATCCAACTGCACGACTAAATAAATATAGGAATTAACATACCAAATCTAGGAAAACAGCTTAGACGAATGTCATAACGCTCCTCCCAAGATGTTAGAACTTCATGTTTTATTTATGAGACGGCATGGAATCGACTGCCAGGACATAAAGAATTCCACGACATTACTTTTTTATTCTAATCAGATGCGTGCTCAAGGTCATACGGGTAGGCATTCAATTAACAGTAATGCTCGTTCTCATGAAAAAATGGATATCAATTCGTTGGTTGATGCTTGTTTTGTGGTAAACTTCACTTACGAACATCTTGTGTCTCTCGTCATGCTACATGTGGTAAAGTAGGACACATCAAGTCCGTCTGTAAAACTACCGTTCATTTCGCCTCAAATAACACTAAAATCTGCAATTTGGGTGATTCTAATACTCATATACTATCCTTACATACAACTTCCAGTAATTCATATATAAGTCAAGAACGATTGTACTTGTCCAGCGGTGATTTTCACAATTTTATTTTTTAACACTGGTATTATCAAGTTTATCGGTTCGGTTAGAAATTTGAAGTTATCAAATCTCGATTCTATAATCAAGCCTACAAAATTTTCTATTTCGAATATTACAGGTCATAAACTTCATATTCTTGGGTACTGTACTTTGTTAACTAAAAACGATAAATCTTCAGTCCTAACTTGTGAATTTCTCATCACTGATTGTGGATCATCTATCCTAGGTCTGGGAAATTTAAGAATGTTCCCAGAACACTCTTCTTTTTTGACCATTAAAGATGGTTCTGGTGAAACGCTTGATAACTCGTTAATTACATAGTCTAAGTGGAAATAATTAATCACAACTCTAAAGCCGTCTCATTCTGCTGCTGAAGCAGAAAATGTCGAAACCACGAAAACAAATATCGATTCTCTTAGACTCCGAGAGGAGAGGAGATACGTTCTTTCAGTGAAGTATTGCCAGATCATACATAAATAAAACAGTAATGAATTTGCATAAATAAAAGAATATTTGTCTCAATAAGGAAAGCTTAAATTCTGCCGTTATTACAGACCATCGAGGAAGTGATTTCTTACAAGCTATGAAGGTTCGCTAAAACGTTCTGATGAATTTGTAGCTCATATTCAAGCCGATCACAACTGTCGACATTTGATGCCGACCTCATTCGTTTCAATGGACCCACCTAGCTGGTGGCGCTCTGTCATTCATCCGCTACAGATCACGAGTGAGTATGCTGTGCTCAACTTCTTCTAGAACTATTAGTCAGCTTAGATTAGTCACTTACCGATATGCCCATACTCTATCAAATATATCTTCGAGCCTCTACACTCAATTCACAGACAGACAAATAATGGACCTAAGGAAATGACGTACAAGTAACTATAATTTATGGACAACCTTTAATCAAAGTATCAATTCGCAAATGTGTTTGGAGCGATATACTATGGTTACTCATTTTTGTTAAAAAAAACTGGAAGAGTCTGGTTGTGTAATGATTTGGAATCAGGATAGAAACAACTGCGCATCATCTCAAGAATCCAGGATTATTCGTGATTATATGAAAGATGATACGTCAGTGAATATTAAAGGCTCTGACCTTACAGGGTCAAAACTTATGGTTAACCATGGGATGTCTAAACACATAGAGGAGTATGAGCATATTGCAGGCTATATTATCACTGGTATAATATGATACCTTGATATAAATCTGGATGCATGACCAAACTCTGACGATGTCATATACTGTCAAAGTATAAACCGATAGACGATACAATGGAGATCGGTGAGCTTCATGTATTTGAATGTGAATGGATTTTGAGTTCAGATACTCTACAAGGCTTGACGCGCCAGTGGTTCCCACATGAAGGTTTTCCAGAAAAGTATATGGAAAATAGTGACTTGTTATTTAATATGTAACTAATGCCAGTGCTCGTTATGAACTGTAAAACTCCAACCTATCTTGGTCTTTATTATGATTTACTTGAGTGGCTACGTGCTACAAACTATTTCTTAAAACGTTTGGTAATCCTGCTAATATAGTTTGTAATTTCAAGGTTGAGGATGTGGAGAACGTACAGTCCTGCTGAGAAACAAGTAGGAATGTCCTGACAAAATGTTGACGCGGAAGAATCTAGAAGAGTCCCCGATAAACAAAGGCATTAGTAGCTTGGTATTTGATTTGGAACTACATGTCCATCCTTATTTATTTGTTATAAGCTTCTGTGGATGATAGAGTATCTGTAAAATGGTTAATATTACATCTATTCATGTTAGTGACACTGACATCAAAATTAACCGAGAAACAGCTTTTTATGGAGAAATATCGAGCTGTGATTGTGTGGTAGTTATATTGTGGTGGACCAAAAAGTATAATAACCAAAAATCAGTGATAAAGTTATTACGTCCAAAATTAATGTAACAATAATAATTTATAAATTAACAACACAAGTTAAAAGTTCAGGGACGTTACTTAAATCGGCTAGTGGTTGCGTATTCTGTTGAGTTTTGGTCCCATAAATCCACAATTATAAATGTGTAATAATTCCACAGAGATAAATATGACGCCAATAAGTTTCTTTGACGTAGGATATGATGGAAATGACACAGCAGTCTAAAATAAGGATAATATCCAGTTTAGAACGCAATTGACGCGGTAACGAGCGAGAATAGAACGATGCGTATGTGCGTAGTAGTGTATTTGCGAACCACCGAAAGTATATCACGCTATGTCCGAATTACAACGGAAAAGGTCTTCAAGGTCATTTTTTTAAACAACAGGTACAATCATTTAATGATAAATGTACATTCAGTGAGAAATTGACCAATACAAATATTAAAAACTATTTACGAGATAAGCTTGTCAGACCTATCTCCACATAGCTCCCCCCAGAGTGTCCGGAGGTTACACTGGTTAAAATAAAAAAAAATGTAAGAATATGATATATGTGTATATACAAAAATAATATTCACGGTTATAACCAACAAAAGTTGTAGAGATGGATATGACATATACATTAATAAGATGGAGTGTGTTATCGTTTGAGAATAGCAATAATGTAGCATAGCATAACGAATACAAAAAAAAAGGAAATACTGTCATTTAATGTCTTGTTTGGCTAACAAGGATAATAATGTGTAAAACTTTTAATAACCCACACACACAAAAAAAAATTGAGCTGTTTTTGTGTATAATGAATAAATAATTAAAAAGAGTTTACCCGTTTATTATTGTTACAATTTTTTTTTAAAAAAA